GGGGGGGGGGGGGGAAGAGAAAATGTTATTCCCACCTGGCAGCCTATAACATTAGCAAGCTGGTTGTATAGCACTGTCAGTGGCGGTGGGTAGTGAAGAGCTCACAGACTTGAACCCCCGCTCTTGCCCCCCTCCACTGTACCCCGAAGTAAACGAAAGTTTCTTAAATAATGAAATAAGCAGTTGAAACTGTTACGATCGCACGTAATGAACACAGAGTGATCAACTTTGCGGCCTGCTCTTTTGTCCAACCACTATTGTCACCGCTTACAATTTTAGTAATCTACCGGCCAATCAAATGTCTTTAGGGCTCAGCAAAGGATGAGCCCATTTCCATGGCCCATCCTTTATTTAAAGTCTTCATGTAAAAAGGTAAAAGACTGTAAAAAAAGAACACTGTACCAATACTATCATTGACTGTACTGAGGGCTCATGCTCTCCTAGCCCTAACAATGGGGTGAAAGTTTACGACACACTTTCCCCCAGTGACACAGGTACCTATGCGCTAATTGGACCTTTGTAAGAGGTGCGTTTTACTTTCCGCGACCACACACCTAATCCAGCTCATAGACGGAATATGTTTGAAGTGCTGTGTGTGCATGTTTGTGTTTGTGCCGCTGAGATTTAACAGTTATAAATCACTTTGATCCACTGTTAAGGCAACTTTTTCATCCAAAAAAATCTAACTTAGAACAAAGAGATGGAAGACAAAGGGGACTCTTCTAGTTTGAATAGTTCTCAAAATGCTGTGGCTCACCCTGAGTATAGAAAAATGGTACTGCTTAGGTGTTATTGCTTGCTATTTTGTGGTAGAGAAGTGGAAGCAACCTAAGCCCCCACCCAAATTTTGGTCCACCCACCGCCACTGAGCACTGTCTGCTGATGCTGCTGTTGCTCCTATAATTGTATGTCGCATTTGTTCTCTCCTTTTTTCAGAAAGGGATGCACAATATCTGTGATAATTTGCTAAGCGTATGTTTTTCTGAGACACTTAGTACTTAGTTTAAAACAAAGACAAAACTAATAAAAGTAAACAAATTTGAAGAACTGTCAAACATTTTTATTGTACATTTATTCTCTTTAACTTTGTGTGCAACAAGCACAAGTATGGAAGTAGGAAATGAGCTGAGTATTTTTATGCGGGGGGAAAATTAATAATACAATTTAAAATCGTATATAAAGATAAGATCATGATGCAAAGAGAGAAAAAAAGTTAATATGTTAAGCATTTAGATCAAAGTATGGAATGAAATGTTTTAGAAAAAGTCCCTTATAAAATTCTGATGTTATGTGTGAAATCATAGTATAGAGAAATAAATACGGGGGTGGGGGGTGTGTGTGACTGTAGTAAAGAATTATATTTAGATTCTTGTTTGAAAGCTTAACAGCATCAATGTGAGATGAAAATAGGTATTGTTTTGAAGGCATTTTTGAGGCTTATTAAGCTTTTTAATATGTTTTCAGAATCAGCCTATTTCAAAGAGATAGTCCTTCAGTTAATTGAGTGCTAGAAATGCCCATTTTCCTGTATTATTATGAAACTTAATTTCTGTTTACTTTTACTCTCTTTCAGATGATACCAAATGAGGAGCACTCTAGCTTGAACTGTTGACCAGCTGAATGCCGAACTGGTTTATGCTTGTTTTGGTAATAGAAAATAGCAAACATGGATTCAAGTTCCAGTTCTACCAGACAAACATGTGTCTTGGATAACACAGAGAGCACTAATGGAGAATGTTGTTTTCAGTGTGTAGTGTGCCAGAAAAAAATCGACAATATTGACATGTTGGATAGCCATGTCAAGGAACATCCTGTGAGCAAAGTTTTTCAATGTTTTATTTGCAATGATGGCTTTGACAATACTGCGGAGCTGTTATGTCATCTTGGGGTACATGACTTACCCAGGCCTTTCAAGTGTGGATTGTGTAATGAGAGTTTTTATGACCAGAAAATGCTGTCCGACCACCTGTTAAGTAGTCATCGACCTCCTTCACTATTGTTCAAATGCGGACTTTGTATGTTGTCTTTTTACGAGATTTCAGGTTTAAACCAGCATGTGTCTGAAACTCATTCTGAAGAAACCAAAAGATTCCAATGTTCGTATTGCAGTAAAAAGTTTAGTGAAATTTCAGCTTTAAAAAATCATACTCCTTGTGAATGTAAGCCATCTTGTCTTCTAACTGAAAGTTCGCCTGTAGATCATATTTCTGAAGAAAATGAACTTTTGAACAGAGATGAAGTTGAGAGTGATGAAGATCATGTGAAACAAATTTCTCTATCAAAATCTAAAAGCTTAAAAAGGCGAAAGGGATTAAAAGAGATTCATGCAAGAAACTTCGAGAAAAAGTCTGGAAGTGTGCTGAGAAAAAGGGTGGAGAAATTGCAGAAGCATGCAAGAGCTATCCTTTCCAGTTCCTCGACAAAAACTGAAACAAAATTGAAAAACAAACAAAATAGTCTATTGACGCCCTCAAAGACTTCTCACAGTTTATGCGGTTACTACTCTGTTGAGTGTGGTAAATGTCACAAAGTTTTTGATTGTGAAGATCTTCTGAAAAGGCACTTCAATGAAGGCGACTGTGAAGGTTACAGGTGTAATTTGTGCTCCAAAACATACCATTTAGAGTTATTACTTTTAAAACATGTAGCAGAACATATGGTCACATCCGGCCAGACGTCATTTAACTGTTTGTATTGTCCAAAAACATTTGACACGTCCGACAGATTCATCTGCCATGCTGCGCTTCATAACTGTGGATCTGTGTTTACTTGCAAACTTTGTGGGAAGAATTATGCCCAGTCAGAATATGTGCTAAATCATTTAAGACGTATGCATAGAAATGTTGTCAGTAGGAAGACTGTACTACCCAGTTGTGCTGATTTGGAGAAGGATGTGGATCATACTGCTGAACAGGATAGGATGGATGCGCCCATCTTGTCGGATGCCACAGGTATAAAGTATAGTTATGATTGCAGTGAATGCAGTGAGAATTTTTCCAGCAACAGCAGTCTTGTACTACATGAATATCAAAGTCATGGACGCGAAGTGTACCATATTGACTGTACTAAGTGTTGTGTTTCATTTCAGTCAATTGAGCTTCTTTTCAAACATTTTAAAGATACAATGTGTGACGGATTTAAGTGTACAGTGTGTCACCAGTCATTTGAGATGGAATTGTCTTGCCTAAGGCATGAAACAACTCATCAAATAGAAATGACAAAAAAGAAAAATTTTACTTGCAAGTATTGTAAACGCGTTTTCAAATCACCCCATCAATTTACAAAACACTCTGAGATTCATTCTGAGAGCAAGCCTTTTGTGTGCAAAATCTGTCTCGCTCGATTTATAAATTCTGACAATCTTTTCAGTCATATAAAATCTATGCACCATCTGAATATTGATCGCCTGTCTGTGGCTCTGAATACAGCGTTACAACCTCTGTCTCATGAACATGTTGAGCTCAAGACAGAGAAAGTGAACACAGAAGTCATACCTTCAGAGACAGATGAGTCATGGGAGAGTGCTGATGGTTTCAATGTGCCTGAAGGTGAACGTACTTGCAAAAGCTGTGGCAAAGTTTTTCACACGCTGCATGGTTTGGCTTGCCATAGGAACTGGAACGGTATGGAGTGTCTTTATACTGTAGACTGTGATAAATGCAAAGCATCATTTGATTCCCTAAATCTCCTCTCCCTGCATATGCGTACTGGGTGTGAGGCCTACAAGTGTTTGGTTTGCTCTCAGGCTTTTGAGCTGGAGTCCTCATACCTGAGACATGTTGCAAAACATGAAGCAGATGTAGCAAAACAAACTTCAAGCAACGAGTCCCAAATATTTAGCTGTGGAAAGTGTGCAAAGAGTTTCAAGTCTGTGTCCCAGTATGCTAGACATGCCCGCACTCATGCTACAAGCACACCGTTTCGCTGCAAGGTTTGCTCTCAGCGATTTCTCTACATTGAACTGGTACACAAACATGTCAAAGGAAGACACGGAGTGAATATCAGTTCTTGTCCAGGTATTTTACAGAAGCGAAAAAAGCCACCCTCTCAAAATAGAGATCATTATCAATATTCTGTTTTCTGTCATGAATGCAAAGAATGCTTTGATAATATACAGGCTCTAAAGGAGCATGTGAGGATGAGTACTTGCTTTGGGTATGATTGTGAATTGTGTGGGCAGTCGTACGCCATTCAGTCGGATCTGATTCACCATGAAATAGAGGAACATTTGAGTAGAACTGATGGAAAACTTCAGTGTTGGAAATGCCTGGAGGAAGTCAACTCTCTTTCTGACTATATGCAACATGCAGGGATGCATGCAGAGTTCCAGTCTTTTAAGTGTGATTTGTGTGGAGAAAGATTTGTGTGTCTGGATCTTTTGGAAATTCACATGTCACAGTCTCATCAGGGTCAGCCGGAAGTGTCAACCGAATCAAATTCTGTATCAACTTTCAGTTGTAAGGTTTGCCATCGTACATTCAAGAGCATTGGGTCCTTGAAAGCTCATGAGTCAAGTTCAAAGCACAGACAAGTCCAGTGTACAACGTGTCAACAACATTTTCTGTGCAACAAAGATTTGCAACTTCACCTGCAGGTTGTGCACCAAGAGTCCATAAGTCACCATTGTAAAGTTTGTGGAAAAACGTTTGCATATCTGAATAACTTGCGTAGACACGAACGTATCCACACTGGGAAAAAACCGTACCAGTGTCAATTCTGTGCTAAGATGTTTTCTGGCATGGATCTTATCAAATCACACCTCCGCACTCACAGCTCTGAGAAGCCTTTCAAATGTCACATTTGTAATTATGCCTGCAAGCACAAGCACTACTTGAAGAGACACATCTTAACTCATGACACAAGTGTCGGTCGAGATCACATTTGCCCCACTTGCGGTAAAGGTTTCAGAACGAGGCACACTCTGGTGCAGCATTGCAAGCTGCATGGGAAGAAGACTTTTGAATGCAATGTGTGTAGTGCTTCCTTTGGTAGGAAAGACTACCTTGAGATACATATGAGAATTCATACGTTGGACAAGCCTTACTCATGTCCTGTGTGCTCTCAGAGTTTTGCAGTGTCCAGCAACATGAACTCCCATATGCGAAGAATCCACCCTGACTACTTCATAGCAACAAGAATGCAGAAGTCTCTGGCTAAAACAAGGGAACCAGTACACGTTCTGTCATCAGCTGAGGTCTCAAAGGTAACCAACACATTCTGAGTCGGAGCTTGTCTCTTGCTTGCATGATTCTTCTCAAGGCTGCCAATGTTCTGAATTGAAGTTCAATATAAATGTTAACCCTTTGTCAAGTTTATTTTAGGTTATTTTGAAAAACTTTGTTGTGTCAGAGGTGGGCATTAGATTGAATTTCAAAGTTTTGTTCTTAGATAGATAAAAATCTACAGTGTTAAATTCATCTTTCAACTTCGAAAGGCTAGACCCCTGAGTTGATGCCAGTTTCAAGAGGAACAATCTGGAGAACCTTGTAAACTGGCAGAGCAACCTTTATACACACTGCACTAATCAGGCCTTGTCAGTATGTTTGTGTTTGAGCACTTAATTGGCTGCTTGTGCTGTATGCTTCCTGGAAAGCTGAGAATTATAGAAGTGTTCTAGGATCTTCTGATAGTTGTAAAGTGCATAGAGCATGCTGTGGAGCATGGATATATGCACAATAAAAATGCAATTACAGTGCGGCCTCTGTATTAAGACCTTCGATATAATGATATTCTCTGTACAGTGACATGGTGCCCAGATCCCAATATTTCCCTTATATATCATAGAAGTAATATTTTTGGTTGCCTCTCTATAACGACAACTCTCTATAGTGACATTTTTTTCTGACCTCTCGACGATGTCGTTATAGAGAGACTGCACTGTAATTTGATAGGTTGTTTGTAGTTTAATTCGGTATCCCTGTCACCAGCCTGACAATTGATGATGATGTCCCTGTTCTAAACTGTTGGCTTGAATTGCATTGTAAGGTGTATTTGTTCTGGTACTGCATGTAGAAAAAGAATAATTTGTCTATCTGGAGAGGGTAGATGATGGAGTCTTTTCATCTCTGTCTTGTTTGCCAGATGTGGTCAGTAATGGGGGAGGGGGGGGGGGGTTAGTTCCCACGTCTGTGTTGTCAGGTGCTCTTGAAGTGAGATATATCAGTCTCAGTAAGTTTGAGCTTTTGTATGCTCTGTGAGTCTTTATTTAGATAGTCTACCTCATCTGCCTGTGTGAGATCCTTGCTTTAAGATTGTTACATGGGTCATTGTCCTAACCACATAGTATATGTTGGTAAAGATAAAGATTTCTTATGACGTGCAGTTCTAGTGAAAGTTGAAAACGTGTATCCTGTATTGTGAAAGGGAATGGGAAACTAGGCCCTGTATTGTTAAAGGGAATGGGAAATTGTGCCCTGAATTGTTGAAAGATGTCCAACATGGTAACCTGTATTTTATGTCGGTTTCTTTCAGTTTCAGGTGCTGACAGGGGAATCTTCTGAGATATCTGGTCTCCTGATCAGTGAACAGATTGCTAAGGCATAATGGACGTACTTGTGTTTGGTGATACAATAAGCTGTTATCTGAGAGAGAGAGAGAGAGAGAGAGAGAGAGAGAGAGAGAGAGAGAGAGAGAGAGAGAGAGAGAGAGAGGGAGGGAGGGAGGGAGGGAGGGAGGGAGGGAGGGAGGGAGGGAGGGAGGGAGGGAGGGAGGGAGAGAGAGAGAGACAGAGAGAGTGAGACAGAGAGAGACAGAGAGAGACAGAGAGAGACAGAGAGAGTGAGACAGAGAGAGTGAGACAGAGAGAGAGAGAGGAAGAGGGGGGGGGGGGAGGGGGGGACGGACAGACAGACAGACAGACAGAGAAAGAGACTTGGAGAGAGAGAAAGAGCGAGAGAGAGTCTGAGGGAGAAAGAGAAAGGGAGGAAAAGAGAGAGTGAGAGACAGAGAGAGAGAAAACTGACACTGAATATCGTAGAAGGAAAGAAAAGAGAATGAGAGACATGAACGTCACAGAACAAAAGAGACTGTGAAGAGAGAGAGAGAGAAAGCTTTTTTTCCTTCATATATTATGGAGTTTAATTACGGGTATGTTATGTCAATGGTTTTATCTTGTTTTGTAGTGCTTTTTTTAAGCAATGTGCAAGTCATTATCTTCCTCTTACTGTCCCACTACATTCCCCTGAATGCATACCGTAACAGAATCTGGCTAGATCCAGAATCAGACTGCCTTCTCAGTACGCACCCGTATGAGACGGATTTAGTAGCGCCTCAACTTTAAGAGTGCCAAGCCCTGCACGATCTCCTAAAAAATCTACTGCCACCATCACCAGATATTGAAAAATAGCCTGTATTCTATTAAAACCTGAGCACCTCGCTCAGAAAGATATATCACTACTCTGTCATGGCACAAGTTAAAAGGCAAGAGCTGAAATGGTTACACAGTACAGGATTGGAAAAGTGAAGCAAGTCATGAAATGTAATATCACTATTGGCAAGGGACACCAACTAATTTCTCTTGTCTTCCTACTTCTAACATTCTTATCTACTCTGTCAATAGAACTTTGTCGTGGGTGGTTGGCGGGTGCTCCGGTGTGGTTTGCTTCTTCTTTCCTACCAAATATATATCGTCCTTATCTCCCCTTCTTCTTTTTTATGTTTGTTACTCTCTTGTAACACCTCTAATCTCCGCTCATATGACCTTATGCAGTTGCGAGTGCCGTAAAACCTCTACTAACTACTAAAACTAAAAACTTTGTCCCTTTTATTTTGTTCTCAGATGCCATTGTGTACATTACGCTGTGATTTATTTGTGCTGATATGTATGACTGTAACAGAGGTTTTAAGTTTGTGTATGAACAAATTTTGACACTACTGAGACTTTGTTGATAGGCCTACTGATATCGTTCGCAGACTCCATTGACCATGGCTTCATGAACTCATCCAGATTGATTTTGCCACTGGTTGTGGTGAAAGCTGTTTGTTTTTTTTCGACTTTGTCTCTGATAGTTCTACATTGGATCTCAATTTCGTTATTTATGACAAGCAGTACAGACTTGAAATTTTTTTTTTTTCATAAGCCTGAAGCAAAATTATTTTAACGCATACTACATGAACATCTTTGATAATAACTGACAAAGAAGTAAGAAGTGAAAATCTTTTTTGGGGTAGGAAGAAAAAGCTAACTTAATTTATCTACATAATTTTGCTGAAAGTACATTTGTATTGAGAGAGTACACCTGTTTTCCTATAAGTAACTGTTATTGATATTAATGATGTCTTGCAATGTGTGACTGTGATGATATTGTTTTTGATGAAGCTTGTGCGAGAGATTTCGTTGGGTTTTTTTTCTTACATTGGAGTGAAGATGGCTTTTTTCTGTGATTCCTATGTATGATTGAGGATGTAAGATATTCGTGGTTGAGAACAGACTTATTTTATTTTCAGTGTGTGTATGTTTGTTTTTATGTATGTTATGTGTGTATTTTTGTGTGTGTGGGTGGGTGTGTGAGTGTGGGATTAAAGCAAAAATTGTGATCAATGTACCAACCAACAGTATTAATGAAGGGTGCTGATCTTTTATTGCACAATCATCTTATTGCGCATCTTTTTCTGAAGTAATTTATTTTACTTGATTTTTTTTGTGTTTTTGGAGTACAGAGATAAAAGTACAAATTCGAGTGCCGCCAAGGAAACTATGGTAAGTCATCTTTTGCAAATTTCACAGGAGAGACAAAAATTGGATTTTCTTGAAGCGTTTTCTGTGGATAAACTTAATTTTCATTGGGACATTTGGCTTTGGCTCCCTTATGAAAATGAAGTTTTTCCACCCAAAACGCTTCAAGAAAGTCCAATTTTTGTCTCTCCTGTAAAATTTACAAAACATGACTTACCATAGTTTACTTGGCGGCCCTCGAAATAATTACATTCCTTGTGGTAATTAAGAGGACTATTTGAGAATTGTGACTTTTATTTTTATGATTTTTTTGGTTGTATCTATTTTGTGACTTGAAAGAGATCGGAAGAACTGTTTTGTCTGGCCCCCATTCTTTCTAAATCCTAAAATCGATTTCTGATACGGACCTAAGGATTGCTACTTTAAAAAAAATAAATCTATGACCGTTTTTGTTAAAGAGTCGAAATTAAGTGTTTTTTTTCATGAAATAATTTACAGACATATTTGTAACAATGGAACACATGGCATTTCGACCTGAAACTGAATTAAAATAAAATTTTCTGTTGTTCATATTTTACTCTAATATTTTGTCTTTACATTGCTCCTAGCATGGATTATCACCTACTCTGTTGTTTTTTAAAAATATAACTTATGCAGTTTTTATGCATATATTGCTAGCCGGGTGATTCAACTGCCTAAGTCAAGTGCCAGGAGACAAATTTTTCAGGAGAAGCAAAAAACTGCTGTATTTCTTTATGCTCGTACCTATGAGTCTGAAATTCAATATATGGTATAATATGATGGAGGACAGTGGTCTGAAACTAACTTCAAAAAAAAAAAAGCTTTCTTACATAAGTTACTGGACATAGGCGGTTTAGACCTAACAAAATCTGCGTGATTCAACCGCCTATGTGACAATATGATGAGGTTTAGGCGTTTGAAATATGTTAATCAACATCACTCGACGAGTGCCAATGGTCGCTTGGGCGTTTGAGTAACCGATAAAAGCAAATCATAATAACAATAGTTTTAAGAGTAATTATAAAGTTAACAGTAATTATTTCAGTGATTTGGTTAGGTCTTCTGGGGCAGGACAGTTTTTGGCCTCATGGAGTTGGTAAAAAAGATCATTGATCAATTTGTACTGGATGTTTTTCTTCAGTGTGTGTCACAAACTTCCAAGATGGTAATGTCAGCTGTTAACTGTTACAACAATCAAAGATAAAGAGGTACAAATAGACACAATAAGGGTCATGAGACGCAAGGAAAAATGTAAGACAGATAGTCAGAGACAAAGGAGGGGAAGAGGGTCTACCAGTAGTCCCTGCCAAAACACCTGAGTTTTCATTAAAATTGAAAAAAAGAAAAAAAAGTAAAAAAGAAAAATGTCATTTCAGCATAGTTTATTCATCAGCAATTTCGGGAGCAAGGAATTCAAAAGACACCATAATGTAGTCAGTTTTTATCTACAATAAAAGCAACATCGAGCAGATTGCAGAGAATGTGTTCGAAACATGTCTTGTCGTTGTTTGCCATGTACAATTTGCATGTGAAAGGAATAGTCTCAAAACAACTCAAGAACATGTACAAATGCACAACACTTACACAAATCCATCAAACTAGAGATGAGATTTGACACAGCTTTGACTACACTGATTGCCAACAAATGCGCACCTCAGTAGAAATACCTCCACTCTGCCATCTACTCACTCAGCCTCCTTATATTATATATAGGAAATAGGAATATTCTAGGGGGAGGAGGCATGGGGAGGAAGGGGGATAAGCTAATTTGTTCGCATTTTAAAAAAAATGGTTGAGATTGTATGGAAGCAGCTGATCTGACGCAACTTTCAAATCACTGACCCAAATCTTTACAAAAATACACACGCACCAAAACATACAACACCAGAGTGCCCTCCATAGTGCAGAATACATAATTTACCCTTTTTCTGGTTGTCATGCAAAGCTCTGTAAGACGTTTAAGTGTCTGTGAACAGATATAATGCAATTTAAAAATATAAAAAAAAGCTAGGTTGAGACTTTCAGGACTGAATACAAAATAAATAAATTAATCCTGAGAATTCCCATACCTGCATATTTCTCAGGAAACATATTTCAAGACGGACTACAGCTGAGGCCTCGGTGCCCACAGTGGAGCCCAGGCAAGATGACGAGTAAACTCTCCACATCAGAATAAAGTGCAACCCATCACATGATTGTTAGAACTTACAACAAAACTCACAAATTGGCGTAGGCTACCTCTTAGCTTTAACACTTAGGCCTGGCACTGCCTTTGAAGTGACCTTAATTGCAGACATTATGTATACATATTATATAATATGTGTCAGGACGTGGAGGAACCAGGCGCTCATCAATTTTTTTATGGAGTTATTGGTACCATTATAAAGCTTGTTCATTTGTCTTGCTTGTGATAACAAAATTACCTATCTATCTCTATCTTGAATACAAGTCGAGATATTTGCAATTGAAGGAGGTGGGGGCCGCCTGATTTCAGAGGTAAAATTGGCATGAAAATGGCCGTCAAAGTCTGGTGTCTTACACAGCTTGAGAGACTTTGGAAACAAATAATTTACTTTTTTTTGGGGTCCCCTTTATCAACTTTTTTTCACATAAACCCTCACAGAAGTGTCTTTTTCAATAAATATATATATATATATATTTATTTATATATATATATATATAAGATGTAGGAAAGCACAAAAAAAAAAAAAAAAAAGCAAAAGCAAAACCCGCGAAAAAAGGCTGATATCTCTGATTTCATTATTGTGACGAGCGCCTGATTTCACCACGCTGCCTCACATCACATATACACATCTGGTAGGAGGTTGAACTAGTACAAAAACTAACAATACACACAAAATGGGCCTTTTACTTTTACTTACTACTTTTAGACACATTAATTAATTACATTAACAGGTACATTAATTCCAAACAATGTAACGCTTGACATCAGAT